CTCGGTGTAGCTGGTGCCGGGATTCCTCCTTAGGTCCCGGTATAGATCCCCTGTGGCCAGCGCACTGGTGAAAATGTTGGTGCCCAGACGTTCGTCCAGATCGTCGACCTGCAGGACCTCGTCCCTCCACCTTACCAGGAACCTAGCCAGCGGTTCGTCCCGCCCTTGTTTGATGTGGGCGAGAGCCGTGACGTCCTTCCTGGGGGTGGTACTGGCAGCAAACTGCGCCATGAACTGCCGGGAGAGCTGTTCATATGAGTCGATGGTGCCCGGCCTCAACTGGCCGAACCATTCTTGCGCCGGCCCCCTGAGGGTGCTGAAGAACAATCTGCAGATGGCCTCGTCTGATGCTCCTAGCATGGACAGGTTCCCTTGGTAGCTTATCAGATGGGCCTTAGGATCGCCAGCCCCATTATACACCAAGTTACCCGGGGGCCTACAGTCCCGGGGAATCTCGACGCTCATCACCCGTGGAGTAAAGGGTGACGTGAGAGAGAAAGAGGGTGTGGCCGAGCCGACGTCCGTCCGTCTATTCATCTCGGCTATCTGCCTTTCCATTGCTTCCAGCCTTGCATCCTGTGCGGCCCTTCCGGGGGACACAGGGGGCGCGGCTTCGGGGACGACCTTCTGCTGATCGGCCGCAGCATCGTGCGGCCGCCTAAAGATCTGCGCACCTCGCCGTTGGAAACGTCGTCCAACGGTGTTGATCCTTGGGGTTTCGTCTCCCCGCGGGATTTGGCGGGGGACCGATGGCGTGTGAGCCCTAGATGCAGCAATGCTGGCCCTGGTTCGCCCTCCCGTTCCACGGGAGCCTGAACCTACGCCTAGCCGCTCATGGACTGAGGGCCGGTGGTCGCTGGATCCCGTCGTATCGTCATACGACTGCATGCGGCGAATGGGAGAGAGGGGCGTTCGCTGGGTGCTTGCTGAGTACACCTGCTCTCGGGCCTCCCGTTCGTCTGCCAAACGACGCATGGTGTCAGCGAGTTCCCGCATGAGGCGGGGATCCTGCCTACCCTCAAGGGGAATGAGGTCAGTGATACCCCCGTCCCCCGGAGGTCCATATTGTTGCGGACAGTTCCGAGTTCTGGCCGCGATTCCGGCGGCTTGACTCCAGACGTTCGGAGAGATCACGCTGGTTGTTGCTTCCTGACATCGTGTTTGCTGTAGGTAGATTTAGTAGCTGTTTGGGAGAGTTTCTGGAAACTTTTTGCTCAGCTTCCCACAGACGGCGCCAGTGTTGAGGTTAATTCCTTCAACCCTTGGACCCAACACGTAAGCCCAAAGATTTCGAGTGGAGTGAGTGTATGGATATCTAGCCCAACAACTTTCGGATGGATCAGGAAACAAGAGAAATAGCAGGCAATGTAAATAGGTATTATTAACTTCGTAATAACTCCCCTAAGTACAACCTACTTGCTAAAAAAGGCACGTCGGCCGTTCGTCTTATACCCACCAATGGGCAGGTGGCTGTGCTGACGTGGCAGCCTGTGGACCGCTGGTGCCCCAACTACCAAATCTTCAGCATTAAATGCACTTCCCGCCAGAATCTAGGCTTCCCGCCTAATCAGTGGGGACGTTCGTCCACCCGGGAAGTGAGCTGGATCCCCCCAAGTGACCCTCAGGAGATACCGGCTGTTCGTCTCCTGGCCTTGATAGATACTCACCATGTGGACTGGGCCTCCTCCGATGACTATAGGCTTGTCATGGGGACGTTCGTCGTCATCCCCGATGGCCCGCGGCCCTGCTCCTTATCCCTACATTGACATTTGTCGGGAGGAGCCGCTGGGCCTGAACCCCCAACTCCAGACGTTCGTCCATCCTCAAAGAACATGGGCCTGTGGGCCGGCCTAGTGTTCTAACTGGACGTCCGTCTGGCAAAATGGGTTAGTGGGCCGGACCTCGGCTTGGGCCCTTAACCCAACATACTCCATCCGTCCTGAAAAGGTTTGTCAACTTTGACTTTCACGCAGATTAATAAAGTAAAAACTGTGTGGTTGAAATTTGTGCAGAGGAGAGAGAATTAACTTTAACCACATATTCCTTACTTTAAATGGAAATGACAAATCTTTTAGAACATCCAAAAAAGAAAATATGACAAACCTTTTCGGGACGGAGGGAGTATTATATCATCAGAAACTCAAAGAACATAGAATTGTATGTGTTACCAACACAACAATTAGTTAACCACTCAATATTCAACATGCAATTTAAGACCTATTGATGACCAAAAGAAAGATATTGCCCTACAGAGCACACACAAAATAGATGCTCCAAACCAGTGTCATAACAAGAAACAACCTACCTATAGTCCTAACTAACAAGTCCAAATCCAACATAATAGAAAGCAAAATTACAAGTTCGAAAATAAAAACTGAAAGCAAAAGAAATAGAATTGAGAACTTGCGCCATTCGGCTCCAACTTTCCAGGCGAACCTATTGATCAAAGCTCGCCCAAACCCCGTTTTTTCGGTCACTAATTTCAATCTTCATCTTTGTATGTACCTATCTTGACTTCTCCAATATGCGCCACTTTTTCTCAGCTAATTGTACACCTTCACCTTGATTCCTTGGATAGTTGGATCCATGATCTCACCTGCATAAGCGACATAATTCCAACCCACATCCTCTAGCTCCCTTGCCGACAACGATTTTTATGGTTGTTTCCGCCTTTTTGGTAGTAACCGGACAAGTGTGTGGGGGCGGAGCGGGACGAGACAGGGATTAGATATACGTTACGATGAAAAAAATTGGATTTATTTGTTGGGGAAAAACACGACACCCCGACCTTTACCAGGATCACGAGCTAAGAAAAAAAAACTCTTGTATTATATAATTGAAATTTACAAGAGAGTGAACAAACGAACGGGTTTCTCACTTCACACTTTCTAGTTGGGAATACTCACTTTTCCTCACTTATGAGAAACTTTTCTTTCACGAGAAAATTGTCCAACATAGGACTAAAACTCAACCTTTTTCTCAAAATAGGACCACATGCATGTTTTTCTCTAAATAGGACTTACCTTACCTTTTTTACCCTAATTCTATTTAATTAATTAATTGATCTAAATAATTGCCCCCTAGTTTTCTTGCACAACCAAGGCAGTCCGTCGGTGGCGGGGCAATCCGTGGTGGCGGCAGCACTCCGGCAGCGGCCGGCGGCGGATTCCGGCGGCGCCGGCAACTCCGGCAATTAATTAACCCAATTAATTGCCCCCTAGTTCTCTTGGACAACCAAGGCAGTCTGTTGGTAGCGGGGTAGTCCGGAGGTGGCGGCAACTTGGCGGCAGCGGAAGAGGCGGTTTCCGGCGGCGGCGGCGCCGCCGGCCGGCTGCAGGTGGCGGCAGAATGTTGGCAAACCTCCAGAAAAAATTTGGAATTTTTCCGATGGCAGTCGCCGGAGCTCCGGCGGGGGCGGGGGGCGGCAGGCGGCGGTCCGGCAGTCCCTGAGCAGCAGTGGTAAAGGTTGTGAGGGGTATTTTGGTCCAATCACTAATAAAAAGTCCTATTTAAGGATGTTTAAACTAGGTACTCCTATTTTGAGAAAAAAGCCATGTTTTGATCCTATTAAGGTAAATCTTCCTTCATTCACACCACAAATGAAAGACTACACCATCTATTTATACTACTCACAAAGGGATAGGGACTCCCTCTCTAGAATCTTCCACCCACCTCTCTACATTCTAGATTCTTTCAAGGAGCCTCTACAATATTCTAGAGAATTCTACTCATCTCCACATAGTCCTAGAATTCTCTAGAATTTCACAAATTATTTGGAAATATTGAATTACACCCTAACATGATTAAATAAAATGTTGATCATATTTTTGAAAAAAAAAAGTCTCTTTTTGTATTTCATGAATCATGAAACAAAGAAATGAAGTGTCATTTTTTATGTTTTTCTTGTTATTCTTGAATGCAGATAAGAAACTTCCAGAGTTCCAGATACTAGGGGTGTGCATAAAACCCGAACCGAACCAGTACCTAACCGTCCCGTAATGGTACCGAACCGAATACCGGGTATTTAGACGGTTCTATAGATTTTTGTCCCGTACCGAAACCGTACCATTTGAAACGGGTACGGGACCGGTTCTAGATTTTGAGAACCGAAAAATACCGGACCGGACCGTTTGAAAATAATGTATTTGAATTTTTTATATTTTTTATATCATTAGATCTCTTTTATGGACCAACAATTTTATAGCCTAAGTATGTATTCATGCGTCCCTAAAATAGCTAAATGTATGTGTTTATATAAATATTGTTATTTTTCTTTTTAGATATTTATGTTATATTTTTGTATGTATTGAAAGAATATTAAAATTTTAGAAATCTTTAATGACTATTCATTTCTAGTAATTCAGTGTGCATGACTTTTTGTTGTATCATGTTTGTGCAATGTTACAACTTAATTAATATGGTTTAAATCTTACCTCTCAAGGTTCAACTATAAATTAAATTAGAACTACGAAGTAATACTTAACCTAGAACGAAGAAGAACGTTGGAGATTTCTGTTATATTCAACAATTTGATGATATTATTTTTTATATTTTCACATGAACTTAGTAAATTAAAGATGATATTTATCTCATGCGTCATCCTTTTGCTATACTTTTTCTTAGTTGTGTTGCACTATTTGTATATTTGTGAATTTTAGTATTATGTATGCAACATTTTCATGTGAGTTGGTTGGTGTGATGATAGCTACTAATTGCAAGATTTGTTCAAATTTTTTAGTATGTGTTTGGCATTGTACCGTACCGTTTTGTACCGTTCCGAAACGACATGGTACCGAATGGTTCCATCCTTGGAACCGAACCGTACCGGACTGTTAAAAACTTCACGAATACATTACGGGTTTCATTAATTTACCGGATTTACCAGACCGTTCCAGACCGCGTCCACGCCTACCAGATACCATTATGAAAGGTTTCGAGTTTAGACTTTAGACTTTCGACTTTCGACTTTCGAACTGTCATTTTTGTTTGTTTTTCGTGGATGACTTAACCGCGTCTATTTTTTCTCCTTCTTAGCTTCTTGACTTAACCGCGTCCCACAGGCCACGTATATATACAGTTCCCAATTTTAAACGCTTAATTTAGCCCATTGTTTCTCTTTGTTGTTCTCTCTCTCGATTAACCATGGAAGCTAAGATCAACAATTTCTTCGAATCGGTTGGAAATTTCTTCTCCGGCGGTGATCAGATTCCGTGGTGCGATTCTGACATTGTCTCCGTAAGTTCAATTCCTTTCTCTCTATCTCCTCAGGAAGTCAGGAAGTCAGGAAGTCCGGCCTCTTTTTCCAGTTTTATATCTGTAGATTAATTTTAAGAAAGTTGATTACCCTATGGTTATAGGTTAAGTCTCTGCTGTTTAAAATAAACCTCCGTAGACAAAGAGAATTCGATCTTGAGCTGGATTTGTGATACTCTGCAATTCGTATTTCTTTTTCTTTACAATTCTCTGTAACGCCATTTGCTTTGTGTTGGTGAACATGGGTCTTATTAAAATTTGTAGTTGAATTTTAACTTAGCAGAAATTTTATCGAATTGAGATAACCCTTTCAGGTGATAACATTAATCACCCAGAATTGTCAAACACACACATATTGATATTTACTTATTTAGAGCAACAAATTGGACAAAGAAATCATCAGAGAAAAGGTTCATGAAATGCCGTAATGATCCTTCAAAAGAATAAAGAAGAGAAGCTCACATACCATTACCCCAACACCATCGATTTCCTGAAGCTAGCCTTTCGCTTGACCCAATTGTTACAACTATTTCGGTTTTAAAAGAAAGCATAATATGGGAGGAGAGTTTAGTCCTCAGCTGTTATTGAATAAAATTGGCAAGTCTTCACTTGTTTATGAACAATATGTATTTCCTCAATAAACTCTTATTTAAGAATGGAAGTGCATGTGTTTTATTCCTACAAGTAAACATATTAATACATACTCCCTCTGTCAAAGAGAATAAGCTTGTTTAATCAAAGTAGTCATTTTTCACTAAATATATTTTTTGTTAATTATAATCTTTCAAAATACAGCACTACACAAGTTAAGCATGCCTTTAATTAGTCTTTTGTACTCAGACTGACATTATTCTTTTTACAGCAACTTTACTCATGGAACTCTTAAGAATATCATTTGCACATGCCTTTAATAAGAGTAGAGTTTTGGAAGTTGAATATCTTTTCCTTTAGTTTATTATTTTGCCACATGTCATTTTTTTATACAAAGGGTGTTGCTACATGTCAGCAATTCCTCTAAAGGGCTCTTTAGGATATTTTTAAGTATCACCATAACATATCAGCTTATGTGTCTTCACTCCCACTGCATGATATAATCTTGTTAGGGTTACGGGAACTAATGAAATTAATCCCAATAGGGACTTCTCTAAGGTGTATACTAGGAGGAGGAAGAATAATAAAATAAGGTAAGGGTGAAGTAACCAATTGCTGAGTTGGCTATTGTAGTGGAGGGAAGAAAATGAATAGAAGGGATGGGTGGAAAGTTAGGCAGGCTGTTATTCAGTTGGGCTTTAGGAGAGCATGGCACTCTCGAATTGTCTGGGTTGTATTTCCTGTTGTTAGCCTTAATCTTTTTCTGGTTACCTAACAAATCTGGGGTTCAAGATTATTGTTTTGGGTCATGTAGATCTAACCATCTAGGTAATGTCAGAGAGCATTGTTTTATTTTTACCAATACAAAACTTCATTATTATCGCCAGGGTTGTGAACGTGAGGTTGCTGAGGCTAATAAAGGTTCTTCTGAAGAACTCAAAAGTGAATGTATTATGCGTTTATCCTGGTCTCTTATTCATTCAAAACGGCCAGAAGATGTTCAGCGTGGTATAGCAATGCTTGAAGGTAAGCATGAAAAGGAGGTTTTACCCCCACACCCACATACTTTTCTTCCACAACATGTTTTTTAATCTCAGAATGGGTGTTTACCTGTTTGGTAGTATTATCATTAAGGTTTTGCATGTGAAGTTGTTGCATGCAAAGTGTAGGGGTGCATGTAAATTCATTTTGCATTGCTTGTTAGGTATGTACATTTTAAGAAGTTTTATGCAAAGGAATTGTTTCATATTCCCTCCTCTACGCAAAACATGGTCAAGTTTGACTGACACGTCAAACAACATAGTAAAAACTATGGCATTATGGTTTGTCAAGATAAGATAGAAATATTATTAACTACAAATATGATTGCTTAGAAGGGTAGGGGCAAATGTTTTGGGCAGCCAAATAAAGGAAAGTTGCCAAAGTATGTGAGGAGGGAGTATTTTTTTCACTATGCGAAATATTTTTAGAGTAATTGTATCTTCCATCATTATCGTTTTCCTTTTTGTGCTGAAATATTTTTGCATATACATTTTTTTGGAGTATTTAAAGCTATTAAGTTGTATTTGGTTTCAGTGGTGGATGGTGAGGCTATAATTGTCTTTTCATTTTAATTTCTTTAAGCGTTAATATGACATTATGAAGGTTGTGATTTGCTGCAGCATCTGTGAGTGGAAGCAGCAGTCCTCTTCAAATGAGGGAAAAACTATATCTTCTGTCTGTCGGGTACTACAGAAGTGGGGACTACTCAAGAAGCAGACAGCTTGTGGATAGTTGCTTGGAGGTTTGGTTCTTTTTTGTGTTTTTTAGTTTGGAAATATATCTACTTCTTAAGTTATGTACTACTCTAGTATTTTGGTACACTGATATGATAAACATGTCGATAGTCTTTTTTTTCAAGTTTCTAAAATTGGTTTATGAAATTCATTTACCAAAAAATTAGTGTGTTTTTGTATAGATTGCACCAGATTGGAGGCAGGCATTGGCTCTCAAGAAGACGATTGAGGACAAAATCACAAAAGGTGTGGAATCTGACTCATTTTTGTAATACTTGTTAACTTGCATTGTGGTCTTTCAAAAAACTTGCATTGTGGTTTTTCATATCTAAGGAAAGAGATGACAAATGTTGTGTTCTGTTATTTCTCTCCATCTGTGCATTTTCTGAAAATAGATGGAGTGATTGGCATCGGCATTGCTGCCACCGCTGTTGGACTTTTGGCCGGTGGAATTGCAGCTGCTTTTGCTCGCAAATGATTGAACTACTACCATTTCTGTACTGAGAAATGTACATAACAAACCCCATATTTTGTAAGACTCAGAAACTCATCACCCTGTGACCATTCAGTTTTTTATCTTTACTTTTCGCAACTTGTATCCAAACTGGTAGAATTGCATAAAAATGTACTAGAGCCGCTTTCTTACTTATTGATTGTTACTCCCCTGTCCTTGAACAATCTTCAAGTTTTGATTTGGCTTCAGAAGTGTGATTGAAAATAAAATGTCTTAAAGGATGATCTGAAATCATCAAAATAGTGAAACAAAAAGTGTTATTTTCACTTAAGATATTCTCATACTCCAATTAAATTGGAGTATCTATTTTACATTAAGAGCCCGTTTGGTAGTTTACACATTAAAACTTTACATGTAAAGTGATTACATTAAAGTTTAGGGCCGTAAAATAGTTTGCGTGTAAAATAGAAATACATCGTTTGGCATGTATGTAATCTACTTTTAAATTACACGCAAACCCTTTACATTGTTTGTTGTCAAATATTTAGAAAATAACTACATAGCTCATTCGCCTCATTGACGATTGACCTGAAACTTTTAATTTTGAAAACTACAAAATTGTAACTTTATTTGAAGCTACCAGAAAGGATTAATTCCAAAAAAATTTGGCAAAGATTCTCCTAATTCCAAATCCCATAAAGGTTCGCTCATGGAAGGTGTCGAAGAACTATGGTGTGTCTTACCTCTCCTTTCCTAGAGGTGATCCCCGAATCCCCTATTACCTCTCCGTATGTTTATTCTTGCTCCAACAAATGAATGTAAACTACTTTACTACCTCCTACAGTCCTGTAAACTATTTTACATGGTATCGTGTAAAATGGTTTTAAAAAAGTGTCGTACAGTTTACACTAAATAATTAAAACAAATGGTGTAAAATGTTTACTTCCCCGCACTTTACACGTAAAGTGTTTACTTTACGTCATAACAAACGGGCTCTAAAATACTCCAATTTGATTGGATTTTCACATATCCGAGTAATATTTTTCGATTCTTCAAATAAGTAACTCTTTCCTTTTCATCATTATCATTACCCCAGTGCCGCAAAGGCTCCCACCTATGGTGGGGTAAGGGGGTCGGATGTACGCAGTCTTACCCCTGTACTAAAGCACAGAGAGATTGTTTCCAGAAGAACCATAGTGAAAATTGCGTCAGAAATTACATGGACTGACTATTGCTTCATAACAAAGACGCGTAGACTGTTTAATGAGCAGTTTTGTTTTATTCCATATTCTTAAGCAAAAAAATAGTGAGTTTTTGATGGCAGAAACTCTTTCCTTTTTACTGTTTATGCAAAATTATCTCTTGGTTTTCACTTAAGGATTTTGTTCTGGGATAAATGAGTGTTACATATTAGTAAAAAATGATTTAATGGTAGGTGCAAATTATGTCAATATATGTTATTGAACCGAAAGATAGATAATTGATCTATGTAGTGTTATTTCTTTACACTGTTAACTGAACCTATTAATGTTTGCAAGATAAGTTGTAAACGGTTCTGGTAGACCCAAGCATAAGGATTGGATGGATGTATGAAACGTTTACACCAAAATGTGTACACCAAGCATTTTTCTTATTGTAGAGAATGTTGGATTGTTGGGCAAATTATTAGATACATTTTGATGTGATTATACATGAAGGCAGTTTTATTTTTATTTTATCATTTTCTCATTTTGCAACTTAGTAATGGTCACTATAACATTGTTATACTTGTTTTCCGCTCATTGATGCTTCAATAGAATACTCATAGAATATAAAAAAAAGATCATTCTGTACTTAATTAACCATAAAAACTAGCACTGCTTTAAACAAATACTCATTTCATGATTTGGGTGTGTACCATGAGTCATGATGTGATACATCTGGATGTTTGATGCGGAGTACATAGTAGAATACTAGAATTACTAATCTATGATTAAAATTTAGGATAGGCGGCTAATCACTCCTTATATATAAAATAAGGATGTTTTCTTTTGGACTGTTTTCAGTCCCAGACCAGACCAGACCAGACTTAAACAGACCAGACCAGACCAGACCAGACTTCCGTAGTTATAAAATACACAGAGACCAGACGTTTACCAGACCAGACCAGACCAGTTCAGACCAGAACAGACCAGACCAGACTTAAACAGACCAGACCAGACCAGACCAGACTTAAACAGACCAGACCAGACCAGACCAGCAAATTTCAGTCCAAAAGAAAACATCCTAAGTGCCCAAGTTTCTAACAAATGTCATCATAACTTGGATTTCTCTTCATCATCTGCAACCTCCGACCCTTCATCATCCACTTGTCTCTGTCGAAAGTACTCCATATTTAGTTTATATGCATTACAAATTAAAGGAGAAGTTTGTTAACTTATACGGAGTATAAATATAAATATTTATTCATATTACATGAGGCTGCTGCAGAGTAAAAAGGGATCGGAGGCGGTGAATAGATTTTGTTTATGTAGTACGTAGTAATTCTCAAAAAAATAAATCACACAAACATATTGCTTTCTTACAATATAATGATTCCTGTAAATAATGTGAAGGTCTGATCTTAGTTGAATCGTTTTCATAGCTAAGATAAATAAAAAATAATTACTTGAAGAATTTTTTTAACTATAAAATGTTAAAAAGAAACTATGATTACGAACCATGAAATATCTTGAAGTTCGTAATTCATAATTTACATTCTATATGCTCTATCGACCATTTTCATTTAGCACTCATGAACTACTATACTTGGTATATTTTATCTGGGTTGTTGGTGAAAAATTTGTGGGAAATCGAAGTTTAATTAAAATCTTAAAAACCAATATGTGGTGAATTATACACATTACTTAAATGGAAAGTAGTAAGTTGAGCATGTTTAATTACCTCACAAGCAAATCAGTGACCATTGTCACGGTGCTCTTTCTTGGCCAATTTGGTTTTAAAACCCCGACCACACCGATCACATTTAAACTTTGTGTCTTCCTTTGTGTGATCAATTTTTTGGTGGTTAATGACTTCAGTTAGACTATTAAATGTGGAAGTGCATAAATTGCACTTACCATCATAATCATTTCTGGAGACATTGAGACATTTTCGTCAGCATTAGAAGCCATAAACCTAGTTACAAATAAATTATAAAAATCCTCAACTAAATTTTGTAATAATAGAATCCTAATGAAAATAAGAAACCATTTATATAGGGGTGGATATGAACACAAATCCAATTCATGCTATGAAAGTGAATCATACTTATCTTGTTTTTGCCAAAAAAAAACATACTTATCTTGTTTCACTTTTATTCTCACCATGTATGTGAAATTTTTTTGTCTGTGAATCCGATTCACAGACAAAATATGTCTTATTTTGTTGTGCAAAATTTGCACATATTTTGTCTGTGAATGAGATTCACAGACAAAAAAGCCTTGCACAAATATGGTGGGTATAAAAATGAGTATAAGGATGTGCACAAACAACTTTTTTTATCGTGTTTAGTAGCTAGAGACCATATCAACTTTACGTGACTGCATGCCATTCTTGTTGAGAGATTTGACAACATAAGAGTAAAAATAGACATAGTCTTAAAGTAGAATAGGATCAAATATGTTTCCATCCCAAAATAAAACTTATTTTTAATGGGTCAGAATAAAAGAAAAAATGAAATTTTAAATAAAAGTACATGAATCATATTTTGAGAAAGGGAAATTCCCGAAATAGGACTAAAACAGTTTGAAAATTCCAAAATAAGAATGACATGTTTTTTATTCCTAAAATAGGATAATGTAATACTACGTATCTATTACGGTGTAAATCACAAAGTATAACGAATTACTTTGTATATATTTACATGAATCAATATTAAGTTAACACATCCACACATAACTAAAACCTGAAAATTGGTCAAATAGACAATGGGACATGACATTACGGTCACAAGTAGCATGAAATTTACTAGTATGTGATAAACACTATAACCACAATGATTGTGCCAGTTAGAAATGAATTTCACATTTTTTTTCTTTTCCGTCGTTTTCCGTCATTTTTTCTTTTCAGTCATTTTAAAATTAAATCTTAATAATTTATACTCCGTCCCACTAACAATGGGACAAGAGAGAGTGACACACAAACTAATGAAAAAGTGGTTTATGTGATTCATATTGAATTAATAAAATAAGAATAAGTATGAATAAAGTAAGAATGATTTAGAACCATACAAATTTTGTCAAATTTGATATGAGACAATATTAGTAGGACGGACAAAAATTGTAAAACGAGACAATCTTAGCGGGACAGAGGTAGTAACATGAAAAAACGCTCACAATCAATAGAGAATTCAAAAATAAAGTATGTCGTTGAATTATTGAAAACCATCAATCATGACATAAAGCTTCATGAGTTTTAACTTTTTTTTTGTAAAACGCAAATATTATTTAATCTCATTAAATTAATAAATTATGTGAAGAAAAATTCATAAAAAATTATCAATGGAATTAATAAGAAATTAAATAAATCAAAATATATAACATTTTAGGTTTTAAAATGATAGTTTTCAATCATTCAGATCCTACTTTGAGACACTTTATTTTTTAGGTCCGTTTTTATTTATATGGATTGGAATAATTCCTATAACTTAATATTGGGTTGATGATGCGTGCATATAAATATAATAAACAAATAGTAGAGTATTTTTTAAAATATTACCAAATATCATTTGTGGATAAAAATATGATTAAAGCTACTACGAATAAAATTGTCATGATTACTAATCACTACTGTATACAAATTGAACATGATTATAACAATGAAAAGTTACTAAATTACTTTTCTGTTTATCATGATTAATTATTTAGGCCATGTTTTAGGAACTATGTATGAGCATGTAGTTTGGTAGGCGGTCACTACCTTGTAACTTTTATATTATTTAAAAAGTTTTTAAAAATTTCTAATTGTGTGCATTACAATATTTAATAGCATTTTTAAAAACAAAAGATCTTTTTGAGAAGCTACATTAAGTACCATTTAAGAAAAATATGTAACTTTTAACATCAAATAGTCCTACCTAACCGTTTGTATATTAAATAGTACTAAATTAAACAGTCAGTTTTTCATCAAACATAAAGACGCAAATATTTCAAATTTTTCGGTATTTCGGTATATACCGAAATACCGTTAATTTTTCGGTATTTCGGTATATACCGAAATACCGTTAATTTTAATCATAAGCTAAAGAAGCGATATCTTTTTCTCAACTTTTGGGA